TGAAGGATCTTACCACTCATGATCTTTTGATTTGCGATGTATTTACTATGTATTTACTATACTTCTCCCTTTCCCCTATTTAATACTTGCCGTATTTCGTGAATTGTAAGATGCCATCCAGTCAGCATATACCAGGAGACAGCCAGGATGTCGTTTTTCACACATCTCAACTTGGTTATTTCCAGTGGCCTAACAGTAGGACCATCACTGAAAACTGATGATATTTAAATTAACAAATTATTTAAGGAGAAAAGAATATGAGTCCCAGTTGCCATCTGAAAACTTTTCTTCCCCGTGGAAGAAAAAGTGCACAATCAGAACTTACAGAATAGGTGTCAGTGACTTGGAAGAAACCCTTGGAAAGGACAGTTCAGTGGAGCCGTCTTGTGAGAAATGCTGCATTACCAGTGTTCTGGGCCGCACAGAGGACAGACTGTGGGGGGGGATAGAGCGTGGACGCCAACAACTCTGGGTTAGAAAGTGCCGCACAGAAGTCAAACTCTGAATGCGAAGAGGTTCTAGGAAAGGCTTAACCAACATATTCCTCTTTTATTTCCTTTTTATGTTTGCAAAAGATCTACATGTAAATAGGTTTAAAAGAACTACTCTGTTAAGTATAAATAAGGCTTTATACCATGTTGACACCAATTTTTCTCTCTCTTTGGTACATAAAATATTGATGCCTCTTCCAATTGACGGTGCCTTAGACTCAATGAAATGCAGTATAATTTACATCCATAACAAGTGAGGAGATGTAGCCTTAATCTGGTTGTTCATAGCTTGTTCAAGTTCTCGCAAATGAATTGCACATCTAGGAATAGAATTTATGAGACCTTGACTCTTGCCTCGTTCACTTGAATATCACTTAGTGCCATATTTCAGAAAGGTTGGTGTTAAGTAACCCAATCATGGGCTGGATGGCCAAATAGAAGTGGTCAGCCTAAAATACAGTCATTCTATAGACCAAACCAATAAGATTGGTCTATATGGGTAGATATCTGACAGTCCCAGGGCAAGCTTCAGCTATCAGCACAGGTATCAAAGAAAGAATGCCCATTGTCTTGTGTGTCACTGAATTTTTTGCTAATTATCAGCTATCATTTTCTGGAAATACCCATCAGCCTACTTGTCTGCACCCCTCTTTTCATTTTTAATTTCATTCTCACACCAAAGGAACTTTTTTGCGTAAGCTTTTACAATTAATAATCATGATACAAAAAAAACTATTAAACCATATAAAATTGACAATATTTTACCATTTCTTACCTGTAGAATCAGCAAGTTTGTGTAGTTCAACTTAATACATGATGTAGTAGATTTTCACATAAAGTAGTTCATGATCCGAGACAAGAAGATAGTCCTCCATCATTATTGAGAGCCTTATAAACACTATCTCTCTCCCATTTAAGCTTCTACCAGCTTTGTGGGAGCCTCTAAATAACACTTTTTGTGTAGGTGGTTCCCTGTGAAGACATTCATTTGACTGTATATACAATATTCTGGTGGGGGGTTTTCTTTTAACTCAATAAACATTTATTGTACACTTAATAGGGGCTGGCCACCATTCTCAGCCTTCCATATGATGATCAGTGCATCACAGTCCCTACTCTTCAGAGCATGCAGTTTAGGAAGGAGGACAGGAATGGACATAATTACAGTGCAAAACAGCAAGTCACATAATGGATATAAATAGCATGCTGAAAAGGCTCTTCCCCTGCCTGGAAGAGCAAGAAGACCTCAGAGCAGGTGACATTTGTACTGGTTCTTAAAGGAAGAGCAATTTACTTGGCAAAAAAGAGAGGGAACAATACAACATCGCCAAGCGGAATGACTTGTTCAGAGTCACAGAAGAACAACAAAGAAGGGTGTTTGAAGAACCTTAGTCTGAATGTAGATGGGACATGTGAGTGAAGTGGCTGGAGATGAGGCTTGAATGGAAGTCAGAGCTGGCTATGAAAGGCCTTCCCATGGGGCCGAGGAGTTTGCATTGTATTCTGCAGGTGGAGAGAAGTTACAAAATACATTCATGTGGCTTTAAATGGCTTAGAAATAAAACTGCTTTTTCTGCTTTGAATTTTTATGTTCAGTCCAATCATCCCCTGAGTGTGTAGAAATAGTACATTAGCGACCCCTCGGCATGAGCTTCTGCAGCGAGAGCTCTTTTTAACCAGCCCTGACACACATGTGAGCAGAAGCAACCTGGATTTCCCAGGGGTTGTTTCAGCCCTGACATCTCTTTTAAACACAGTCATTGAGCTGTGGTTCCTCACTGTGGCTGGAAGCATAGCCAAAGGCTGCGTTATTGTGAGAGATTGTGGCTTCGACAATTACGTGCTCCGCCACGGCAGGGCTCTCTACTTCACTTGGGTGAAGGAGCTTGCCAACACATACTTCGTGTTTTCATATTTTCCTCATTGGGTAATTGCAAAATGGGTGATTCCACCTAAATGCAGAGAGATTGATTTCATCCAAACTGCAGGCTGGCTAATCAGTGACCCAGTTTTCCAGTCACGTGATGTGGCATCTGGCATTTACCACCCATCAAATGAAATTACACAGCACCGATAAATTACCAGCTCACCCTTGGGCAGAACTTTTTCCCTTAAACTGCCTACTCCTTAATACTTACGTAATGTTTAATAGTGCCATGGCTCATCCATACAGGGGTATCAACTGGAATGTGTCAAAACTTGACCACAAATGGAGATTTATGTGCGTGTGTGTATAAATTATACATAGATAAACACACACATATATATATATATAAATGTATAAATGAGTTATCCCATTCATGTGAATTTTCCAGATGCATAAAGCTGTGACTATCAAACATTTTTGTTTTATTTAAAAAATTATACATATATAGACACACGTGTGTGCATGTATATGTGTGTGTATATGGATAGATATATACACACACATACATATATATATGAATGAGTGATTTCATTTATATAAATCTTCTAGGTGCACAAAACTATGTGACTCTCTAAATAGGTACTGGTACCAATTCCAACATTGAGGGAGGTCCCCCCAAACTAACAAACAACTCTCAGACACCATCAGGGTGTCCAAGAACTCAACTCAGTTCTGACACTATCTACCCAGAGATAGCATCAGAATCCACAGGTTAAGAGTTTAGTCCTACAAGACTAATGATTGAACTCCATCTCCAGCCCCTGTCCCCTCCCTGGAGGTGGGTCTCCGGGCAAGTAAGAACTGAAAATACCAACCCTCTAATCACAAGGTTGGCTCCACACACTAGCAACCAGCCCCTATCCTTAATTATTTTACTTTCCCCAAAGTCCCCTCATTAACATAACAAGAGGCAACTTTATCACTCTCAACACTTAAGAAATTCTAAGGGTTTTGGGAGCTGTGAGTCAGGAGTTGTGGAGAAAGACCAGATACATATGAAAAATATATATTGGTCATCTGAATAACCAAGTATGTGTTTTTTATATATTACACTGAAATACATCATTAGTAGTTTGATAGGAACTGTGCTGACTCTGTAGTTTGCTTTGGTTAGTCTGGACATTTTAAATCCAGTCTTTATGGAAATATTTCTCAGTGTTGGAAATGTGAGTTGCAGAGTCAGCCTGCTCTGTTTGAATTCCTTTTTCTTCGCCTCTTAGCTTTCCATCCTTGACAAGTAACAATCTTTCTGAGTTTCAGCTTCCTCGTGTATGAAATGAGCATGAGGAACCGCCTCGTAGGGTTGCTGTGTGAATTAAATGGGGTGTGCGCGTAAAGCGTTCAGTATCAGTGAGCGCTCAAGTAATGCTACCAATGAATACTTCATGCAGATTAGAACTGATTCCTGAATATTGGGACCATTCTCATGAACATTAATGATTACAGGAAAATTAATAAGCTGGCCTTCTTGGGGCATATTAAGAGCCAGAAAGTTATTTGTCCCTTCACTAAATGGCCCCAGCCTATCAGTTGTCACATTCTGAAGTTCACCATTTATATGGGAACCTAACAGTGTTCTTCCTCCCTTAGTGCTTCACTGACAATCAAATAATCTTGACTTGTTAAAATTCCATCTAAAGCCGGAGTGTAAAATCTCTGACTGAGAGCCCAAGTCTGTCCTCCAGGGCCTGTACGAGGTGCTGTCTGTTTTAGCCACTCAAAGATCTTTTCTGCTGATTTCAAGATTATCAGCTATGGAATGACAAATACCAAATACAGCATGATCTCACTTATGTGTGGAATCTAAAATAGTCAAGCTCATAAAAGCAGAGAGTAGAATGATGATTGCTAGGAGCTAGTGAGAGGGGGAAATGAGGAGATGTTGGTCAAAGGGCACAGTTATGTCAGATGACTCAGCCCTGGAGACTATGGACATTTACTAGTGTTGCTCCTTCCCTTTGGAAAGCCCTATCTCTGTTTCCTTGACTAACAAACTTTTATGCATCCATCAGAACTCAAATGAAATGACCAGTCACCTACCCCTCTTTGAAGCTTTCCCTGTCCCGGTGTGCTGGGTTGGGCCCCCACCCTTGTGTTCCCATGGCACCCTCTCCTTCACTCTGTCTTAGCCCTTAGTCACTGTTAAGTGCCAGCAGTCATGCTGAACTGCAAATTCCTTAAGGACACAGCCCTTAAATCTCTTTTCTACCCACCTTGGCTGGCACTTAGCAGGGACTTGATAATCAGTGAATGATTCCTTGAATATCATTTCCTTCTTATAAAATAAATCACTGTACTTTCAATTAATTGAGCATATCACGAGCTACTAATTTTGAAGTTCAACACACTTCAGATTATCAAATAATTGAAAATGTAAACATGTAAGAATGTCAGTGTAAACACTTGGATGAAGGGGAGAATAGGGGGTCTCGTTTTTTATTTTCTTTGCTCCTTTGAGACATCTTGATTTCTCCAGGTAGAGAAGCCTTCCCCAGGTGGGTGTTGACATGGTAGCACAGTAGAGCACAGGATGTCAATTGCAATACCCCAACCCTTTCGTGTTTTTTTTTTAACTTTTTCAGGTTACAAATGCTGTTACCAACTCTCCTGGCCAAATGACCCTTCATCTGAAACCTCTCCTTGTGTGTGGAGGAGACGGATTCACTCATTCCAATTTCGATGGCTGCATCACTTCTGCCTTGTGTGTTCTGGAAGCTTTAAAGAATCATATTTAGTACCTGTAATTCTTTTTTTTTAATTTTCAATTGCAGCTGACATACAGTATTATATTAGTTTAAAGTGTGCAACATAGTAATCAGACATTTATATAACTTCTGAAGTGATCACCCCGATAAGTCTATTTAGTGCCTGTATTCTTATCTTCCACATGTACTTTGGGTTTTTGTTTTCACAATTTCCTGTTATTGATTGCTTTGTTTTCCATTTTGTTGAGAGAAATTACAGAAAAATTGTTCTTCACTTGTCATTTTTTTTATATGGAGTATAAAATTGATTTTATAATTTTGATAGTTACAACCCAGGCTAGAATAAAAGTTCCTTGAACCTTATACCTTTTGCCACCTTTCTGAGTTGCCATGACTACTCCTTGATAGAGGAAAAGCAGAGCTTAAGAATAACAAATGACCCTCCCAAAAAATTATGTCAAATCAAAGTAACTGTTCATGTTCCCAAACCTTTATTATTCTTTTGAAAATTCTGCCTCCAAATAAAGAAAAATCATTATCAAAGGCCCGTTTTTAAACTTCAAGTATGCTCTTGGTTCAGTATTTCTGCAAACTGCTGGACGATGAATTTCCTGCAAGCTGTGACTAACAGTGTCATTTCTGTTTCTCATTTCTCTCCAAGTTATTAAATGATGCTGAATTGTAGGTTGTATATGTCCTTGTCTCTAGGGCCACAGTTTGGAGGGCAACTTGACTGATGAAGAAAATAACCAGATTCAACTTGACTTTCTAAGTCACACAGTACTTTTTAACTTAAAAAAAAAAAATCCAGTCTTATTATGACAAGTAAAAATTAAATAGAAACTGAGAGAAAATATATTGATCTTTACCTTTCATTATCTCTTAGAGCTGCTGCTGTTACTTTTATGTGTGTCCAGTACGTGCTGTGACACTTAGACTGGATCAAGTTTAATGAATTTAATGCAACCCCCCAAAAATGTACTGAACCAGAAAATAAATGCACTTCAAATAGTTCAATATTTGCCAACTTAGTGATTGTCACATGCTTCAGTGACAACCCAGTGACCTGCTGGCTGGAGAGAAATTGATCCCCAGCCTTCCAAACAAGCTACCTGTTGCTAATTTAAAAAGCGAAATGGCGAGTTCTATATTATGATTTTGAAAGGGGAAAAAATTGGTATAGCCTCTCAAACTAAGAAAAGTTCAACAAAAAACTTTTTATCTTGGTAATAACCTAAATTTCACACTTGCACACCCTCTAATTAGACATACACATGTACAGGCATGGGCAGAACTTGCTTATGTGGCTACAAAGTGGGCTTTATGATCCTATAGAATGTTATATGTGTCCTTTTAGCAATCAATTGATGAAAAACAGAGATGCCTACATGTAGTTAATGTCACTTATTTTTGAAAACAGGGAAAGAAAGAGGGAAATTAATGTGATCTCTGCTATGCTATGATAAAAAATATTGAGACTTCTTTCATCATTTAGACCCCATTTGATTGACATTTGTTTTTATTTTGGCTTTATCTTGAAATATGATAGAAGAGTCATTCAAGTGTATTAACTATTTTGTTTTTAATATAATTCTGGAGTCATTTGACTGATACCATCCTGAAGCTTTAAGAACAATATTATGTTTGTCTCATGAATGTATGTCCTCCAAAGAAGAGAGAGAGAAAAAACAATTTATAAGGGTGGAGTGGGATACATAAAGACAGAACTCCTCTAAGCCATTTCTGATGACTTTTAATAGCTATTCGTTTTGTTACCCTAATAATTCTGTACGTAGATCATTGTTACACTGCTGTTTTAATCACTTTGAAGACTCATTTTACATTTAGATATGTCTCTGATAGGAGAGGCCAATCCCCTGATGCTCAAATAGGAAGTAAAAAATGTATCAAACGTTCGCGCTCTTCATTTTCATTTACCCCTTCCCCGCAGAAATGCAGGGGATGTGGGGTTCTCCTGTGCTCGAAGCCATCCCAGAGGCCGTGAAACGCAGATGGCCAGGCACCCTAAGAGACCCAGGGCTAAGGTGGCAGGCTCCCTGGAAAACAGGGGTCAGCACCGTTCGGAACAGTTGCCAAGGTGTCTGTATGTCAGCCCGCAGGACCACACCGCACCACGGTATTTCCAAACAAGAGCGTTTATTAATCACGCCGGCCAAGGAGGGCTGCTCTGTTTTGAAAGGAGCATATTCAAGTGAGAAACGGCTTGAGCAGCGGGGTGATTGAATACTTGTTAGCTGATAAATATAGCCTTTGCCGGGATAAAACTTTATGATGCCGTGTTGAAAAGCTTAATTACTAAACTGTCTGTGCACGTCTTGCTCAGGCAGCAAGGGTGACAAATTACAGCGGCAGAATAGCATTTTTCTCCTTCGGCGTTTCTGAAGGGGAGAAGCGTGTCTGAAGACACCGAGAAAGCAGTGACAATCCTCGGCCGGATAGCGGGGAGAAAGCGACACTTCACTGGGCCGCCAAGCCTTCTGTGCACAATGCCGTCGTCCCCACCCCCCACCGACCCATTATCCTGTTAAGTAAAAAGAACAAGGTCCGTTTTACATTTATCTGGTATTTTATACTCATCCAAGTATGTATATAACTGTCCATCTCCCTAAGGCCCTCGGGAAGCAAGCAGAACAAGGAATTCTTATTCACATCTGACAAATGGGGAAACTGAGGCACGGGGCTTGGCCAACCAAGGTCCCATAGCGAGATGCCAGGACAGGACCCAGGCTCCCCTGATCCATTCCGTCTTCCGGGGCGCCTGCTGCTGTCAGATGAACTTGCTCATTAGGGCTGAGCTGCAAGGTTAGTTGGAGGTGCAGTCAGCGCCGGAGGTCGGGTTGCTGATCTCATTTCAGAGCCGCTGACGCTGGCCCTGATGTGACACACGCAGGATACAGTCTCCACGGGCACTGGCTAGCCGGTTTCTATTCCCATTACTTCCATTTGCTGGTTTATTTTCCTTCTTTGGGGCTCCTGCTGTGAGAAACAGACGCCTCCTAAAGACTCTGAATATCAGCCTCGGTATTGCTAGGCTAGCTACTGACAGCAGCCGTCGCTTCCTGCTCTGTTTCTTCATTAGTTTTGTTTCACTCTCCTCTGTCGTTTCTTTCTCTTTTTTTTTTTCTCCTGCTTCTTCCCCTATCCCCCATTCTCCATGCTCAGAAACCTGGAATATAAATGCAATCACATCATGATTCATATCATTTGTTCTATCTTATTTTAATATATCTTTTTTTCCTAAAATTTAAAGCAGTTGATTCTGCATTTGATTCAAGTAGACCTGATAACCATTATTTTGATTTCAGAAGTGATGTAAGAATTTAAAACTGGCTGTAGCGATAGCGGGGATCTCAGCGCTGATAACCTAAAAGACACGTGCAAAACATGGAATCGGGCTCTGTGGTGGAGATGGTGGAATATCAGCAGCAATCTCCACCTAAAGAGCTTAGCTAGGGGAAGACAAGTCACTGGGAGTGGAAGGCAGGGTTAAGGTTCATGTCCTTGTCATGGCAGGCAGTAAATTAGATGCTCTAACTCATGAAGCTGCGGAATCCTGAGAGAAAGGACCCTGTTTCCTTAGGAGAGGGCCCCTGAGCAGATGCGGAGATGCGTCAGGCCAACACATCCCTCCACACCCTGGGCAGACCTGGATGACGCCTGGAACCCAAACTGCAAAGCAGGACAAGGGAGTCCTTTCTGCGGAGAAGGCCGAGTGGCACACAGCGAGTGGGGAGAGGAGAAATCCTCAGCGAACCTCAGACTTGCTCGTGTAGGACTGAGCTGCTGTCTTCCAGGCTGGAGTGTGCTTGTGTCTTGGCCGGTATCATCTGGCCAGGGAAGACTGGAGTGGTAATGCTTCCTTCTCAACAGACAGCGGTTCTAGTCCACGTAAGAGTTCAGAGCAGAAGCCACCAAATGGACTCGCTGAAGGGGAAGACTGTCTAGGAGAGTGGTAATTTAAAAGGAATGTAGAATCTCAGAATCTTGGAAATTGAAGTTTAGAGGGCTTGGAGACCATTTAGACCAGTTTTTAACCATCTGTGGAAAACTATAGATCTTCTAATAACAGCAATAAAAATAAATATGCACGTAGAATTTGCGTACTATTTTAGAGCCTGTTTTTGTAAATAAAGGTTTATTGTATCACAGCCTTGCCCATTCATTCGTGTATTGTCTGTGGCTCTTTTTGTACAACCACAGGTGAGATGAGATGAGTGTTTGTTTCAGAGACCATAGTTCAGTCTGAAATAGTTAACTCTCTGGTGCTTTCATAACAAATTTGCTGACTACTATTTTAGGGGATTACAAAGCCTCCAAAAATCTATTTTTAGACACTCAGAAGTCTATGGACCCCAGATTAAGAACCTCTAAATCTCCACCCTATGACTTTATGTAAACACAAGCTTATCTTAGATCCATACATCTGGCCCATTGTTCCATGATCCTATGCCCCATAGTAAATCCTTTAAGGCAAGAACCTAGCTTTGTAGTTAAGAACATATTCTCTGGAGTTAAATTTTAGACCTGTGTTTTACCCAGACTCGGCTCCTCATTGTGTGGCCTTGAGACAGGCTCCTCATCACCTGAAAAAATGACTTGATGGTAGCCACTCATAAGATTGTTGTGAGGTTTAAATATGCAGAAAATCATAGAGTGCTGGGCACATAGTAAGTGCTTAATCAATGTCAGCAATGATGATGATGATGATGAAGGGGAGGAAGGAGGGAGAGGAGGAAGAATACAAGCAGATCTTCCTGGTGCCTCCAAAGCCCCTGGGAAGACTAGTCTCCTCTGCATTTACACAGGGCACGTAGGAAAGCTGATGCTAAGGAGAGTTGGTGCATTGGCAGCAAACTGTGGTGAAACTCAGAAGCAGCTTAATAGCTCTACGTTTCTTCAAAACCTTCATGAAACCAACTAGTAGTGTCTGCCTGAGACCAGCCATGAGCCGCTTGGTCTTGTCCCAGTACAGTTGGTAAGTAGACACTTGTTGCTTGTGGAGAAGGTGGTTTGCTCTCATGTGGTCCTTGAAAAGAAACCAGGGTAAGTTGTTACCAGGAGTAGAGATGGCATAAAAGAGCAGCATTCTCTGCAATGAACGGTGCCTTTTCTTTAGCGTATGTGTGCTGACTGCAGAAAATTGCATGCTTGGACTGGCTTCTCCTGAAGATTGTTTACAAGCAGACCTTGGAGATATTGAGGGTTCGGTTCCAAACCACTGCAATAAAGCGAGTACCGCAATTCAGCAATTTGCAATCTTTTTGCTGGTGGAGGGTCTTGCCTTCAATTTGTAAAATACACATCTGTGAAGCACAATAAAGCAAAGTGCAATAAAACAAGGCATGCCTGTACTTAAGCTCTGAAACACTGAAAACTGGGACTGAGCTAATTCACACTCTTCACGGGTTTGCCTAAGTATGCAGATTCATTTCCTGCCCTTGGCCTTCATTTTAAAAACCTCAACTCCTGGTAAATTCTGTGACATCATGGTGGATTCCATGCCATCCTGAACCCACCACCGTCTAGACACGTGAGAATAAACAAGTTTAAGTCTCTCAGCCTCAGGATCCTCACCTGCAAAATGGGGATATTAACTTTACCTGCCATAGGGTTATTCTGAGGATTATAGAATATACGTGTAAAGATTTTAGCTTTGTGCTCTACATATAGACAATATTCCATAAAAGTCAGCTGTTATTATTACTATTATTAGTACTAAAACATTATTAGGAAAAAAATCCTTTCTCATAACAATCACTGCATTTACAGGCAGTGTTAGACCTAACCAGGGAGCCAAGCCAATATTGTAAAACTCATCCGGGACTGCATGCAAGTACCACTGTAAGTTTGCTTTCAGAGTCACTTTTCTTCAGAAATCCTTATTGACTATTGGGTGAATAAATTAATAAATCTATTGCCGTGCTCCTTAACATACCTGGCACAGTACCCTGTTCCCCCTTCCACCACCACCCCTGCCAATCTAGTCTTCCCACTCTTGTGATACTAGTCACATGTATTCTTAGTCTTTTAATATCTACTTGTCACCAAAACTGCCAGAACCACATAGGCAGGGCCTGGCACATAGGAGGTATTCAACAGAAACCTGTGGACCCAATGAATGAATGAATTCAATTAATCAACATTTCTTATTCTAATTTCAATAAATGTCAAAGGAGACACCGCTGATAATGAGTTATCTCATAGAACAAAAATGTACCCACCTCAATAGAGAAGATGGTTACATTGTTTTAAATTGTGGTAGCATTGTCACATATTTATACTTTGACTTTATATATATGTATTTATAAAAATATAGTTATGTCCTCTGAATTTTTAAATTTACAGCATATTGTATTTAGTTGTAATAATACCCTTGCACATGCCTCTTTTACACTAACACAGTCTTAATTTTTCCAAATATGGGTTTTGACCCATAAATTATTTGTAATAGCAATTTAGGGAACCAAGAATTTTGTTTGTTTTTATTAAAATAACAGAAAGAGAAAAAAGAATGAGAAGGCTGACATGTGATAAGAGTAGCTATTATTTGATAAAACTTTTGTTTCAGTTCCCTGGATCACTATGTAAACTGGCTTCATATAGAAAACCACTACCAGAAATAAGACATAATAAATATATTACCACTCTTATCCTCTCTAGCCCTATACCCAACAGTTCTCCCTTCATCCAGATCTGGAGGTGCTGAGAGGCTGGGGCACATCAACTACCTTGAAAAGGTACAGGCTTTGGTTTAAAAAAAAGAAAAAGGGGGAAATCAAATGTGATTCTATCCTAATACCATGCATTACAGGCTGCTCTGGAAACTAGACTCACCGGGCATATCCCTAACATAATGGCACTTCTGCTTTCTTCTGGGTAGAGCCAGAGCTGCCCTCTCCCACAGACGGCCACAGCTCACTCTCTGTCCTGCACTCTGTGGGAGGCAGAGATAAAGCACCAGACAGAAAGGACCTCCTGGGGCCGCATGTTTCCATCTGTGAGGATGCTTTGTGAGGGAGCAAGAACGTAGGTATAACACAACCAACTTTCCAAGTCAAAGTGCTGGGTGTTTGATTCAGGCTCCTCAGTCATGTCAGGTCAATACCATATGTAATCCATACTTTCTGACCCAGATGAGAGATAACAGTTGTCTGAAATCAAATGAAACAGGATGGAGTAAACAAACCCACATAAAACAAGCTGAGACGTCCTCTCAGTCGCTCTGGGAACCCAAGAGCCGACCGGGGATGCTTCTGTGGTTTACTTGTGAGCTAGCTTGGAAGTTTTGCTGTCACTAAGAAGAGAAATCGGAAGGCTAGTTCAGCATAAATGGTCCCCAGCTGCATTGAGGGTGGTCACAGGTGAGTCATAAACAGTGTAGGAAAGTAGAGATACAGTATGGAGATCTGAGAAATGCCACTTTTATCTCCATCTCGAGACTAATGTCTCGGAAGGAATTGAAAGTTGAATTACTGAAACTGAAAACTACTGACCTCACCAGGACAATGCTTTCCCTGATCCAAGTCTGGGAAGTGCCCCTGGTAAACCCCCAGAAATGAATTGGCCTATCAGAAAAGAGCAGAGTTAGGTACTCTCAGATGCACTCAGTGACATTTTCACAGCTTTAGAAGCCAACCTTTCTCCACCTCAAACCAAAGTACTGAAATGCTTGATTCTGTACAGTTGTGGTAGAAAGGCCCTCTATCAAAGGCAAGCTCCAATACCGCAAGCCAAAGATAAATAACAGAGGAAATCTCTGAGACCATGACCTCTTGGTGACCCCCTGGAGCTAAATCTTTGCTAGACCTCAGAATACCAAACAGGCCACCAGCCCGAGAGCAGTGTTCGTAAGAGCGGCATGGAAGCCACCTCGGCCTGGCTCTCTAAAAGCTTGAGAAGAGAAATCCCAAAGGGATTTTTTGTTATAGCCCCAAAGCAAGGGCTTGATGTTTTGGTGAAGAAATCCCTTCTGAGAAATTAGCTCATTCCCAGGATTCTACCAGAGTCATTAGAAAAAAGCATTTGCTTGGGAGTTGGGATGGTATCTCTCTCTGGTCCAGTGGTGAGATATCAGTATTTGAAAATGTGGTCTCTCACCAACTAGCAGACAATGAACTAGCAGGATCTCACAGGACCTTCTCGTCTCGTGGGTTTCGGTTATGGAGTCCAATCAGTGAGCAGCACAGAGTGTTTGCTATATGACCGGTCTTGGGAAAAGTTCTCAGAGGATGCTAAGCGGAACCGGACTCATGCTTCTCATGGAAGGAAGCACTGAGCAGACGGCAGCGTGAGTTCCCCTTTTGAGACAGTGTCAGAGCACCTGAAAACAATTCCTGGCCACCACTTCCAGTTTAGGAAACCCCTGAGGCACAAGACAGAAACTGAGGCTGAAGGGAACCGGTATCTAACAAGCGAGACTTGGCCCCTAAGTTGCCATTGGAGGGCCTGGCCTGAAAACTGAGGCAAAATTAGCCAAATCCTCAAAATAAAAGCTGTGGAGAGAAGCTAAGAGACAAAAGCTGACCCGAAGTCTGATATGTAGATCTTGACCCCAGGGGAAGTTTAAACAGATCTAATTTGCTTCTCTTAGCTGCAGGACTCACCACGGAGTATAGCCATTGATTGATAGATATATTTACATATATAGTTATATATATGTATATATATACACACACACACACACACACACAAAGATCTATCACATACAAGAAGATCAGTTCTTCAGGATGAAACAGGATTCCCCTTGGGTTCCTCTAAGGGCCTCTCTTATTTAATCCATAAATAAGGGGGACTTCTCAGGTCCTTGCTGCCTAATTCTGTAAATCTGTGACCCTGTTCCAGATTTTTCTCAGACACTTATGACTTCAGTCCTTGACCCATTGTAAGGTGGTCATCCAAATAGAGTATCTAAACCTTGTGACCCCCAAGGCCAGTACCTGGTTTGTTGGTGGGTGAGAATGACAACTCAGACTTGGCCAATGTTTTTGTACTTTGGTTTTCTGCCACAGCATCTCAAACAGTGAAAAACAGGAACTTAAAGGAGTAAAAAAACTAATGAAATGCTTTCATACACAGGACCTTAGTTTAGTATACTAATCCTATTTACATATAGACAACCTGTTCTCTGGAATCCCATTGTAAATACTCC